TATATGAATGAGAAAATGACATTTAAAACAAATTAAGCACAAGCTTTTGAGGCAAATGTGAAGTGGCACCTATTCCTCTATATTGCCCCAAAACGTGGGACTATGTGATCAGTGGAGATGATGGAAAACCTAGTAGTTTTAGTTAAATTCTAAATTAACCATCTTCAGACCCTAGTTTTTATCGCATAAATAGATTATAATCTGGACTGCTGGTTATTACTGATATCTTAAGTCACAACTGATTTCCTATGCCAATATTAATGGAATCTTTTCATGGCCATTCCTTTTAAAAAGACAAAACAAACTTTTTTAAGTTGCTAGCTACATGGACAATTTTAGAGAAAATACCTAACAATGATAGTTAGCACTTATTTGGTGTATTATGTTCTAGGCACTCTTCTAAGCACTTTACATATATTAACATTTAATCCTTACAACTACTCTATGAGTTAGGTATTATTATCCCCATTTTACAGATGAGGGAATAAGGCACAGTGGCCAAGTAACCTGAGGTCACACACACAAGCTCAACTTTTAAGTATATAAATGTGCCTTAAATATATTTCCAAAGGACTCTTTAACAAAGTACTGACTCCTTATACTTTGCTGCTGCTTATGTGATCCTGGTTGAAGTAATTTTAAGAAGTAACAATGATGCCATGCATTTGGTTAACTATTACTGGTGAGTTAACCTCAAATAGAAAATTTGATCAATAAGCATTTTTATTTTAGAGCCAGAGAACTATTTTAGGAACCTACTGCCTGGAAAGGATATCCTTGGGACAGCAGATCCCTTAGTTCCTAATGAACAGCTGCATCACCGGCACAGCCTCTCCTGACCGTGCTAGGGCCATCAGCAGGGTAATTGAGCCCAGCTTATTAACCCTTCTCTGCTTTCTTTCCAGCTAGCCACAGTACAGCCTGGCCAGAATTTCCACATGTTCACAAAGGAAGAACTTGAAGAGGTTATCAAGGACATTTAAGGAAGTGTGATCCTCAGAACTTCTCTGGGACGATTTCAGTTCTCTTAATTGCCTGTAAATTTTATTTCCAGCTCCTGTTTCTTGGAAAATCTCCAATGTATGTGCATTTTTTTATGATGTCTGTACATATAAAGGCAGTTCTGAAATAAAGAAAATTTTGAAATATTTGTTAATAGATGTCTGTTCTCTTACAGTGCAGTCTTTTGTTTGAAATGCATATGTTAGCAGGCCAAAAGGATATGGTATTAATATCCCTATCCCATGAAAGCATCTATTCTAAAACTGTTTTAGTGACTCTCCATAACAGAATCACTGTATCCGTGAATCCTTTGATGTTGGTAAATGAACTCAAACTAGCTCAGCTCCTCCCAGTGGTTATAGATGTTAATATCACTATAAATCCATTTCAATCCTATAGTTTCTCTTGAGTAAATATGTATTTTTGCTGCTTTCCTTATATGAAAGAGATGCTACTAATTGATAATCAAAAGAACATGTTTTGAGGTCCTCCCCAAAACACTGATGGGTTGGAGTACGCCATCTACAATGTTGTACCAGTTCTTCAGTCTTCATAGACAATTTGGAAAGAGATTTCCCTTTTTGTGAAGTTAAGGACTATAAAAGAATTAAATTCATGATCTTGGCCTCAGTGGCAATTAATAACAAGGCTTAGCCATATCAGTAAGAAAGAAATATAAAATTGAGAATTAAGTTTACAGTAGACTTTGAAACGTATTACGAACATCCCCCATGAGAGCTGCCATCAAATGTTTGGTTGAGATTGTTTAACTAATCATTCTACCTGAGCCTCAAAAATGACCACAGGAAATAGGTATCATCATCACTACTTAACAGATGAAGAATCTAAGGCTGAGTGCCCACGGATACAGAAAGTAAGTTACTGGCACTTGAACAGCTTAGATTTTCTTGTTTCAAATCACCAGCTCTTGAGTAATAGGGAAATCTGGAGATCTGAAATATACTTGCACTATCCACAACATCATTAATTGTAATTCACTAATAAGGACCCCAGAACTACTTGCTGGGCTCTGTATTGTCTTTATTAATACGTGTAGGAAGTTGTACTCTATGATGTTAAAGTAAATCATGACTTTGAGTAGGCTGAATTCATATTAAATTTATATTGTCATTCAGCAAAAATCAACTGTGCTTATATACATTTGGAAACTGCAATGACAAAGCATTTGTAAGAAAGGAATTTTGCCCTAGATGTAATACATATAAGGAAAGTAGAAAACTAGAGTGTGTTGTTACCAATGTTCCAGAGAACTTTCCTAGTGATTTTTAACCCTGCTATTAAATACAACATGTTCATCAGATTTGTTTCTCTCATGATCACTTTGTTTTATTAAATCCAAATAGAAAATACCAATGACAATCCTACCTCAACTTCTGTTTATTCATTTAACAAATTTATTGAGCACCTACCTAACTATATGCCAAGCAATGCATTAGGCATTAGGGATAGAGCTGTGAAAATGCTAGATACGGTCTGTGCTTCTATGAAACTTAGATCCAGTGGGGAGAACCAGACAAACAATATTACCTTTTAACTCTGTAGGTTAATGCAGAAATAGACAAAGC